ATGTAATAAAAATTTCTTTCGCAATAATCAATCGAATAATAATATAATTTACCATAGCATTCCCTGACATCATATTAGCGATTGGAGTTCCGTAATTCATAGCTTTTATTGAACTTTTCACCCTATTACAGAATTTAATAATCCTATCGCAATCGCTCAAAGCAGGATGATAGTCTTTCAAAACGGTCATTGCATCGCCTGCTCCAAAGAACTATATAATCAACAATAATTTTCTTCACCCAAGATTACAAAATTTAATTAAAGAAATTAAAGTTACAAAGCGGATACTATTCACCGAAGTTGCACATTACCTGAAATGCTATCGCCACCTTCATTTTTTGATAGTACTGTGATCTAATATGCTCTTCTTTGATTTTGTAATTAATTTTCATATTGTAACTTTTCGGATTTTCCACTTCAAGCAACGAATGTCAATGATTTAACGTTACTGATCCACCATGTGTCTCCATTAAATTTAAAAAGTAACAAATCATTTTACTGACAAAATACTTTACTATAAATTTCAATAAAACATAGAAAAGTGTGAGAATTCGAGCGAGTTTCAGCTGAGTAAATTAAATTATAACGAAACAATATTTTTGTACCTTAAATTAATGAAATAAATTATATTCATAACTTAAAAGCTCGATTAGTCATATGTAATTAAATGGCGATCTGTCAAGCTTTTACTGCAGTCGAAGTTTTCAAGCGGAATTTTGCAATAAGCCTCAAATGTATCAAAAGTAAAGCGTATATTAATGCACAAAATGTCTTACCCAAATGTTATCGTAGCATCTTTGCTTTGAAAAAAAGTTGCACAAACATTTGATCAAATGTGAAAAATCCGATAAAAATCATAAACGCCGCGTGGAATCAGGATCAGTCTCTGCTACGTGAGGAATACTTATATTCTCCTCATTTACACCAAACTGTTCCCATATATTTCGATTCCACTATGCACCGTCGCTCGTGATCTCATCAACTTTTAGTCTAGCTTTTTCAGTCCATATTATACCTTCCAGCAATATCTGATAGAATACTGTTCCAGTCGCGCTACCTTTGCTTAAGAAGTATCCTAACATTTGACCCATTTCCCTTTGAAAGGTTGATTACCTGATTGAGGTTATCACCTTTAACTCCTTGTTGGTGTTTGGGAGTATACTTGCCAAGATTAGTAAAGCCTTTGAATTGTAAATTTTGCCTATTAAACGATAGCAAATTTGCAAGCTTCATCTCATCTACAAGAATAACTCCTACAAACGAAATATAGCTAATAAATAAATTATCATCTACCATATTACAACTATAAAATATTCCAGTAACAATATCGTGACATTTATTCGTTTATACAGGCAATAGTTGTAAAAATAGAAACCCATTGCCTTGTTAAAGAAATCACTTTAACAAGTGTCACAAGACAGACACGGTAAACCCGTTGCCCCAAAACTCTCTTGCACTACTTAATTTTATATACGACGCCAGGTTATATTACAAAATAAATGTAGAGTCGAATTAGTCATGCGCAATTATTGATAAAAAGCAATTTGGTATTCGAAAATGTTTGACGGGTTTACATTCACGATATTAATAACAAACAAATACTAACTTCGGTTATTCTGTCTCAAAGAATAAAAAAGGTGTGTATTTCAAATGTGGATAGTCATTTATTGACAATTCAAATAAAAGACTCTTTTGTTTAATATATTGCTTTAATTAGTTGATTAATATGAAGAATTTGTAAAATTGTTACAATAATTTTCACATAATTTTGAGAAGAGATATATTTCTGGTAAACCTTTTTGAGGCAAAAGGAAAATGTCAATTATAAAAAAATAAAATATCGTAGATTTATTTTCCTTTAAAACATTTTCATCAAAATGACCTTCCTTATTTTTCTTTTTACAATTAATGATTGCAAGATAAATATAGCGTATTTTCTATCGAGTGAATTTTTTCACTCCAAAGTTCATACTAAATACACTAGAACTTGAGTGAAAGAGAAAAGCTCAAAAATTACTATTGCACAATTTCATAATTTTTTTAGATCGCCAAAATAAGGAGATTGAAAATACTTCATTCGAAAAAAACGTTAGCGGTGTATTGCACTAGTGCTAATTGACAGTTTCGTCGTGAAAAGAAGGAAAATATCATTTAAAAGCTCGATTAATTTAGCTATCGATAAACGACATAATAAAAAACATTTTCGTACTATTTACATAGAGTTACGCGCTTATGAGAATAATGAATTTACGATTGCTAACCTCGGGCATCATTGGGATCCATGCTTTCAGTTTTCGTTTTCAAAATGTCGAAGGTGCTCTGTTCCAAACCGTATGCTCCTTTCATTCGCTTTATGTAACAACTAAGTGTTGTTAATGATGGTAAAGCAAGTATCTGACGTGATTACAAGTGATTGGAAATTTTCTTGCTTTTTATTCGAAGTATTAAACATTCATAGATCCACTGTGTCGAATATCTTATTCCTTTAATACCTTTGACCTTCGATGTTTATTTATTTATTTTTTTTTTTTTTGAGGAGAGTCTGAATCCATTTACGGACAACTGACGGACGCCTGCCAAGTGTGGGACTCAGTAGCTTAGGCCACCAATACCCACCAAACATATCTCTCCTTGTTCGCAACGCAACCAGCCCAGAACTGTTTATCACATTACTTCAGACTGGGCGGCTGTTATTGCGTGTCCAAGCACACATTCATCCCTTTAATACTCATTCATTCCTGAGTAGGCTCTGAAATGTTCTTATTCATTTAATTTTCTAAGCATCCATCCGTTTTTTTGTTTCGTAACACATTTGAAACGTATAGTACAGCGCGATCTTACACCATGCGTCAGCTGTTGTCAACATTACGTCCGTCACGTTTTCTGGCGTAATCGGCCCTAATTCTGTCTCCAGTCTCAATCTTTGCTCGGCCCAACGGTCGCACACGAAAAACGTGTGCTACGCGTCGTCCCAAGACCCCCTACAGTACACACAGTCTGGGGAAAGTTACCTTATCAATTCTGTACAGGTACTTTTGGAAGTATCCGTGTCCAGTCAGAAAATGGGTGAGATAGAAATCCACCTCCTGTATTTTCTGTCTTTCCATGGACCAACGTCTGATATCAGTCTGTGGGTCCATTGTCCTTGAACGTCTGTCGTCCATCTTGTCTGCCATTGTTCTGTCGTTTTCATTCGTTCCTCTGTTGCAGCGTCGGCCGTCCCTACGGTCGCACTTCGGTCGTATAGTAAATACGTTTCCTCTCGCCTACCAAGAGGTCGATCGGGATAACGCCCGTGATCGCGAATATCGCGCTTTCCGAGAGTGTTCGGTACGCGTACGCGATTCTTAGCGCTACCATTCTCCTCACCATTCTTCTCTCCTCACCCGTAACGAGTTGGCCCATACCTCTGCTCCGTAAAGCATAATCGAGTGGGTTACGCTCATCAACAGTCTTCGTATACTCGGTCTCGGTCCTTTCGTGTTTGCCATCAGCCTACTCAAGGCTTTGATCCTTTTGCTGGCTCTGGCGGTCGCGTCTCATATGTGGGGCCAAAAGTTCAGTTTCGTATCTAGAGTCACCCCCAGGTACTTTACCTCACTTTTGGTCTCCAGTCTTTCCGTACCTATGGTTATCGGTATTATCGTATCTATTCTCTATCTCGTCAGTATCAGTAAGCCTGTCTTAAAAAGAGCCAGGCTCAGTCCGTGGTCAGTTATCGACCCATCCAAACGCCTCATCATCTGGCTCAGCTCAAGCTGAGCTAGATGTGTGTCGCGGGCTGTTATTACGGCTGTTACATCGTCAGCATAGGCGACCAAATGCGTGTCCGGGGGCATGTCGAGCTTTATGAGTCCGTCGTACAGTACGTGCCAGAAGTCGGGACCCAGTATGGGTCCCATACCCGCTGTAATTTTCCGGTACTTCCGTCCTTCCGTCGTTTTGTACGTCAGTCTTCGGTCCTTTAAGTAATACTTCAAGACTTTTAGAAGTTAGGCGGGCATCTGAAAGCCGGCTACTGTTCTCAGAATATCCACCCACCTAGCAGAGTTAAAGACGTTCTTTACGTCTAATGTTACTAGGAGCGTTATTGACCTGGCTCCGTAGCAAATCTCGTTCATTCTGTCAACTTCCTGTGACACGTCTGTGATTGCTCCTATCGTTGAGCGTCCTTTCTGGAAGCCGTGTTGTCGGTCCGATAGGTCGCCAGCGGCTTGCACCGCCGCGTTCAGTCTTGGTCGCAGTAGCAGTTCGTATAATTTGCCGGTCGTGTTGAGGAGGCTCAAGGGCTTATACGAATTTGGCTTATCGGACTCTCCCTTGCCTTTGCCAATGAGTACCAACCTCGCGTTCTTCCAGAGTTTACTGAAAACACCCGCTGTCAGGCAGCCACTGTACAACTGCAAGATTATGTCGGGCCGTCGAGTCGCTACATACCGTAGCAGTTCACCCGGTATACCTACTGGTCCAGGAGCCTTGTTCATCTTCAGCAAGGTTGTCACTCGTATGAGCTCTTCCCTTGTGAAGCAAGGACATTCTATTTCTTCGTCCGTGTTCGTGTCATCGATTCTGTCAGGATGCGTTGGAAAAAGACCTTCAACTATCTTTTCCATTGTCCTAGCATCTTTTGTCTCCGGTGGAGCTCGGACCCCTAGCTTTCGGGTCACAATTTTGTAACCCATCCCCCACGGGTCTGAGTCAACCTCGTCTGTCAGTCGTGTCTAGCATTGTCGTTTGCTGTTCGTTATAGCTTGTCTCAGCCTTTTTCTGGCAAGTTTGTATGCCTTTGAGGTTTCTTCATGTCTGTTTCTTTGTCTTTGTGCCTGTCTAAGTCGCCGGTGACATTCGCGTCTGATGTCTTCGATTTCTTGCGTCCACCAGTACATCTGTCGCCGGTCGCGTCCGTATCGTTTTTTCGGCATCGTAGCGTCGCATAGGTGATGGAGATATTTTTCCGTCTCCTCAGCTAACTTCTCCGCCGAGTCACGGTCCATACCACTTCAAGTGGTTTTCGTAAAAGGCTCTGCATTTTGCAGTAGTCTGTCGAGTTTTTTTCTGTCCAGGAGTTTCGTGTCCCATCGTAGAGGGAGTAACACGTTACCTCTTCGTCTAGTCGTATTTTCGTCTGTCACTTCGAAGATGATGTATTGGTGATCACTGGCTGTATATTCCTCGATCACTTTCCATCCTCTTATTCGCGTCAGTAGTCTGTCTGTGGTCAAGGTCACGTTTGGTATAGATTGACCCCACTCCGGTCGTCTAAATGTCGCCGACTTTCCCTCGTTCACCACTACTAGTTGCAGCCTCGCGACCATCTCTAGTAGTAGCCGTCCGCGTCTGTTTGTCGTGGGCAAACCCCACTCAATCGCCCGCGAGTTAAAATCGCCCGCCACGATCGTATTTCCGGATATATCCCTCACTGCGTCTTCGATATCTGTGAGTCTGTTGGCATACTCCAACGCGGAATAGTTTGGTGACAGGTATACACTGACGACAACGACAGTGCTCACCCTCACCCAAATATAGTCCGCCCCGGACCCGCTTGCAGAGACTCGCATCGCTTCGTTTCCGCGTACCCACACCGCTGTCGTGTTCGATTTGCTAGCGAACCACGATGGCTCAGGTCTTTTCCTGTATTGTTCGCTTATAACAAGCACGTCTGCATTCATCTTCATCGCAATTTGAGGGAGGAGCATGTGTGCTACGCTACTCCTGTTCACATTGCATTGTAGTATCGTCAGGGTCATTTTTTCTGTTTCGTCTTCAGTTTCATCAGTGCTGCTCTGTATACGGTGCACTCGCCCGATCCAGGCACGTGGGCCAGGTTCTGTCTTTCTATCCCCTTAGAGAGGAAGTAGTCAGTAGTGTTTTTACACTCCTTGCCCACGTGACCCGTCTGTCCACATTTCATGCAGCAGTTCTTTCTGTCCGGCCCTTTACATTCTCTCCGCGTATAAATACCCGAGGCAGTTGAAGCATCTTTGAGGATGAATGCGTAGTCGAATTCGACAATTCATCCATCCTAGTTTGATGCGTTCCCTGTCCGTCAGTCTCGTTGCTTCCGTCGCGTCGAACTCGCAAACGGCTTGCGCATTCCCATATGCGTTTGGCGCAAAGAGATGCACTTTCCGCTCCGCGTTCGTATTTAGTTCGTGATTTATCGCGTTGGCGATGTCTTGTACCGTCGTGACGCAGTCCTAGTCAGCAAACTCCAGCGTCACCCTGGAAGTTAAGTCTTACTGTCACAGTCTGTCCTAATACTTTCTGAAGTGTCCTTTGGAAGTCTTGTCCTTGGGACTTTTCCAGCCGCATTAATACAGCACCGTCCTTGGTTTTTATAATCGTCCGAACGTCTACCTTCTCTGTCTTGGGGTTTACCTTCTGTCTGATAGTCCGTAAGACATCGGCGTACAGTTGTCCTTCCGCCGGCTTGATCAGAATGATCCCGCGCCTGGTTTTCAGGTTGGTACATTCCGATTCTCGGCTTCTGTGTCTGTCTGTCGTCTTTTGTACCGTCTCTTTGTCGGTCTTTTCCTTGTTCCTTTTCTTTTTCTTTTTTACAACGGTGGCCCAGTCCTCTGACACCTCCGCTCTCATCTCAACATCCTCCGAAGGAGTCTGTTGAGTGGTATGCCCCTCGTCAGGTGTCTGTTGGTTTCCGGCATTCACCCCTGGCATTTGCTGTGTGGCAGCAACGTCTAAGTGCGTTCTCCGTCTTTCGTCATCTACTTGGTCTGGGCTTGGGGTCTGTTTTAGCCATCGCCTTTTATGTCCTGGAGTTTCCTCCATTACATTCGCTCGTCTTTCCGTTACGTTCGTCTTTTGTCTGATCTGTCGCATTCGCTTCAGTTCATACATACAAACTTCTACAGCCTTATATATCTCAGCCATACCGTTCGTAGTCACACGGCTCACGTTTCTTTGGACGTTCGTCTTCTCCGTCATTTGTCCTAGGACGCTGTGTATGGTGAGCAGTTTCTCTCGCATCTTACTCTCCACAGCATCCCAGGATTCTGGTGACGTCGACCCTGTCCTTTTTCCTGTCGTAATTACCCGTCCACCAGCGAGGTTTCCTACTGGTGTAACGGGAGAGCCGGGCAGCTCCAGTGACTCTCCTGAGTCGATGGGCGCAGGCGGTACTCTAGTACCTGCAAAATATTCTTTACCTTTCATCTCATTTTCATCTCCTTCCATCTACTATGTGTTTTATGTGTTAGTGGTCAGAACTAATTACTAGGTATAGTGGATCCTGCAATCTTTCTTGAGTAGACCCCCCGACCGACCATGCCTAGAATCCGGCGGTCTCGACCGTTTCTCCCCTCCCCCTGCAGCAAGGGCCCTTCCGATCGCCAATTGGCATTACTACAGAGAGCGAGATTTGGCGCTTATTAAGCGTTTTACCTTTGTGTAGGGCGAGCCTCCCATGCTGGCTGAGCTGGGTCTAACCCCCCTCCAACTACTAGCGGCCCAGGAGTGCGAGACTGGTTTTACGATTGTACCATCCAGAGTCGGCACACACAATTTCGGGTAAACTCTCTTGTGATTGCTCTCACCACCGTCTGGTAAAGTTCTGCTTTGTGTCTGATCGACTAATCCGTCATTCCTCTGGTTTCATATCCATTCGGGAGATGCCCGTTTATAGAGCCCCCTCATTTATAACCCGCTTGGAAAAAATACCCGTTTATAGGGTTCAATCTTATTCGTAGGCAATACCCGTTTATAGGGCCCTTCATTCATGCTCCCAGAGAATTTTCGGACAGTCAATCAGATGTGTAGGTTTTGTGTGATGAGTGGTTGTGTACAGCCTTACTGCCTACCACTATTGGCGGGTGTAGCCAGTGCTTCCGTTATCCGTCTCTATTATAGCGCTGCTGCAGAGAGCATCGACGTAATATTTACGTTTCCAGTGGGCGCGACGTGGACGCCGGAAGTTAGCGTTTTTCTATTGTGGGTGTGATCCATACAATAGAGCACCCACCAACCTTTGATGCTGCTACGCATGCTTGTAATTTAATCTTTGAATACACAATCAACTTTTTTTGAACTTCTTACAATGAGGATTTTTCTTTGATCGTCGTGAATATCGAACCATCTTTCAACTTTTGATTGAAGGTCTTTTCTACTTCGTTTTCTCTGAAATGTAATTCACAAACATTGTGGTCCATTCGCTCGTTGACCGTCGTACCGATAAGACGTGTTTTTAAACGCCCTCCGTGGTATTTCAGTGTTGTGAACTAGTATAAAAAACGCGTGTGTATATTGTAGCGATGGCATTTCGAGCCGTTAAACAAAAAGTCAAATTAGTGTAAAATCACCAAAAACTTTATATTCTTTCGCGTTCAGTCTCTGCGCGAGATCAAACAACAATGTCTCCAACTGTAAATATGCCCCAACAAAAAACATCGTACTCTCAAACAATACAGCAAGATAAAGGCTTATCAAGAGAACAAGCCATTATCGTCGATTCAATCGAAGGTTACAGTGTCGAGGACTATGCCCTAGAACTTAGAAAAATCGTAACTTCCCAAGACATTCTATATGCGTCACACATTAGTCAAAACCGCATCTGTTTCTACCTGAATAATAAAGACATTGTAGAAAAACTGATGAGTTAAAAGTCTATACTAAATATTGGCGCAAATCAACTGAACATTATACTATTAGTATCAAGGGCAAAAAGAGTAATAATCTCAAACGTCCAGCCATCTGTACCGGCTTCAGTAATAGTGAATGAACTTCACAAATTAAATATCACACCAGTCTCTCAAATCACAGTGGTCAAAATGGGTAAACAAAACACCTCTATTTGTCATTTGTTGACATTTAAAAAACAAATGTACGTAAAAGAGGAAGATATTCCCAAGATTCCTAGTAATCTGCGAATCACTCACGAAGAAATAAACTACTGGATATACTTCTCGTCAGGAAAGCTTACTTGCTATCAATGCAAAGAAGGAGGTCATTTAGCCAAACACTGTCATAACATTGTAGACAATACTAATCTTATTGCTGATACATTAAAGAAAAGTCAAATTACTAACAAGGAATCAGATGAAACATAAAATGTAGAATTCCTAGAAACGGAACAAGTAGAAACAAATCAAGACAGCCTTAAGGGACCTAACGACGCGTCGGATGAAAATACGTTAATGGAGAAAAAAATCAAAGTTCAAAAGGCCGTATCCACCCAGCCTGTCTGTTGAGTCTAATGAAAGCCAAGAAATAAAAAAAGTTAATAAAAACATTCAAAGCCCAGAAACAAAAAAGCAAAGAGAGGCAACGCCAAGTACTAATATAGACTTCGTAAAGGAACTCTAAAGTGTAAAAGAACTGTTTAACACTGAAAATAAAAAGTATCCTGTTAACTTCGACCAACTCGTTAAATTTCTACAAAACGCGCACGGTAATACAGTAGTAGAAACATCGAAAGTATACACGAACGATCCTAAAGTTCTAGCAGACCTACTGACAGAAGTATACCCACATGTAGCTAAACGACGCGCGAAGTCTCAAATCACGCGTCTCCGTAATATTCTGGCCTCGCATGCGACCCCCAGCGCTACTCCGATTCTTGACACCAATGACGACTCTTCCGATTATAATTGTTCGCTTTAAATACCTATTCCTCTCACTAATATGCATAACAGCTCAGATAGAAGTAATACAAATTATAACGTTAGTAAAGACAAGTCACAACTTAAAATTTTGTTTCGGAATTCGTGAAGCATCTCTCAGCGTAAAAACGATCTCTACGATATGTTACAAAACGTAGATGTATTTGTGTGTGTAGAATCGTGGTTGAAACCTAAAGATCGATTCAAAATTCCTGGTTTTATTTCAATAAGACATGATAGATGTCGTAATCGTGGAGATGGCATCCTCCTTATGGTTAAAAAAAACCTGATAGTCTCAGAGCATAAGCAAATTACAAAATTAACAGAAGAAGTTGAAATAGCTGGTATTCGAATAGAAAAGGTTTGTCCGAAAATAGATGTTATTGCTTGCTCTAGAATCCCGGGCGTTAATCTAACTTAACCCAATAACGACCAAAGAGGTCAGTTTTTGGACATATTTTTGATCGTAAAATTCATTTATAAAACGAAACAATAAATTGATCCAGGGTACCATACCTTATGTTTTTGGGTGTGCTGAATCTAAATCCGGCCTCAAAATTCAAAAATTTTGCTTACATAATTAAATATGGCCGGTTTTTTATAAAAAAATAGGGAAATTTTGAAACAAAAAATTTTTTGGAATTTTTTTTCTACCATAACACATGTTAATATCGAAATCTTTCTTCAACCATGAGTGCACAAAATTGTTGAACTTTAACAGAAAATTTTTATATTCAAAGTTTTTTTTCCAAAATGGCGGAAAAAATGCCAAAATCGGAAAAAAAAAAAACGATTTAGGTTACAATTTTTTTTCTCAAAAACTATGAGGTTCGCGAAAAAACTTTATATTACAAAAATGACTTATAATTTGTCAAGAAAAACTCTAAAATTTTTTGAAATTTTTTTTAATTTTTTAAAAAAATTACAGAATTGAAAATTTCAAAAAAATTTCGAAAAATTGCGGAAAAATTAGAGAGTATTCTTTGACTAATTCTAAGACATTTTTGATCTTATAAATTTTTCCCGAAAGCCTATAGTTTTCGAGAAAAAAATTCTCAAAGAATTGTGGAAATTCTATTCAACCGTTTCAACTTTTGGAATTTCATAAGATAAGTTGGGGGGCAAATGTACGG